GTCCCGGTTTTGAAGGAATATCAATATATACATTTATATATCGCTTTATACGCCACTAGATATATAATTATGGTCCCGGTTTTGAAGGAATATCAATATATACATTTATATATCGCTTTATACGCCACTTGATATATAATTATGGTCCCGGTTTTGAAGGAATATTAATATGTACATTTATATATCGCTTTATACGCCACTAGATATATTATTATGGTCCCGGTTTTGAAGGAATATCAATATATACATTTATATATCGCTTTATACGCTATTAGATTTATAATTATGGTCCGAGTTTTGAAGGAATATCAATATATACATTTATATATCGCTTTATACGCCACTAGATATATAATTATGGTCCCAGTTTTGAAGGAATATCAATATATTCATTCATATATCGCTTTATACGCCACTAGATATATAATTATGGTCCCGGTTTTGAAGGAATATCAATATATACATTTATATATCGCTTTATACGCCACTAGATATATAATTATGGTCCCGGTTTTGAAGGAATATCAATATATACATTTATATATCGCTTTATACGCCACTAGATATATAATTATGGTCCCGGTTTTGAAGGAATATCAATATATATATTTATATATTGCTTTATACGCTATTAGATATATAATTATGGTCCCAGTTTTGAAGGAATATCAATATATACATTTATATATCGCTTTATACCCCACTAGATATATAATTATGGTCCTGGTTTTGAAGGAATATCAATATATACATTTATATATCGCTTTATACGCCACTAGATATATAATTATGGTCCCGGTTTTGAAGGAATATCAATATATACATTTATATATTGCTTTATACGCTATTAGATATATAATTATGGTCCCAGTTTTGAAGGAATATCAATATATACATTTATATATCGCTTTATACCCCACTAGATATATAATTATGGTCCTGGTTTTGAAGGAATATCAATATATACATTTATATATCGCTTTATACGCCACTAGTTATATAATTATGGTCCCGGTTTTGAAGGAATATCAATATATACATTTATATATCGCTTTATACCCCACTAGATATATAATTATGGTCCTGGTTTTGAAGGAATATCAATATATACATTTATATATCGCTTCATACGCCACTAGTTATATAATTATGGTCCCGGTTTTGAAGGAATATTAATATATACATTTTTATATCGCTTTATACGCCACTAGATATACAATTATGATCCCGGTTTGAAGGAATATCAATATATACATTTATATATCGCTTTATACGCTATTAGATATATAATTATGATCCCGGTTTGAAGGAATATCAATATATACATTTATAAATCGCTTTATACGCCACTAGATATATAATTATGGTCCCGGTTTTGAAGGAATATCAATATATACATTTATATATCGCTTTATACCCCACTAGATATATAATTATGGTCCTGGTTTTGAAGGAATATCAATATATACATTTATATATCGCTTTATACGCCACTAGTTATATAATTATGGTCCCGGTTTTGAAGGAATATTAATATATACATTTATATATCGCTTTATACGCCACTTGATATATAATTATGGTCCCGGTTTTGAAGGAATATCAATATATACATTTATATATCGCTTTATACGCCACTAGATATATAATTATGGTCCCGGTTTTGAAGGAATATCAATATATACATTTATATATTGCTTTATACGCTATTAGATATATAATTATGGTCCCAGTTTTGAAGGAATATCAATATATACATTTATATATCGCTTTATACCCCACTAGATATATAATTATGGTCCTGGTTTTGAAGGAATATCAATATATACATTTATATATCGCTTTATACGCCACTAGTTATATAATTATGGTCCCGGTTTTGAAGGAATATTAATATATACATTTATATATCGCTTTATACGCCACTAGATATACAATTATGATCCCGGTTTGAAGGAATATCAATATATACATTTATATATCGCTTTATACGCTTTTAGATATATAATTATGATCCCGGTTTGAAGGAATATCAATATATACATTTATATATCGCTTTATACGCTATTAGATATATAATTATGGTCCCAGTTTTGAAGGAATATTAATATATACACATATAATGAAGTATAAATAATCAATATAAACATTAATATATCGTTTCCACTTAAACTAAGGCAGCAAGAGCACATGTAATTATGTTTAAATCAATATATAAATTTATATATTCAATTTCCATTATTCAATTTCCTGGTCAATTCCCTGGTCAATAGGTATCCATGTATTTATTTTCTTATATGAATCCGGTAGACACTACGTAGTTCCACACGAATTGCGAACGATTTTGCATAGAGGCGCTGCATGCAACTGCCTTAGAAACATAGGAATCTTAGTGGATTCATATTGGATTCCTTTATATATATAATTATGGTCCCGGTTTTCAAGGAATATAAATAAATATGTCGCTTTATACTATATATGTTCCTCTCTTATTGAGAATTAAAATTTAAAAAACCATGGATAGGAGTCTATGGATTTGTAAAACTGAAATTTAAATTTACAAACCGATTAAAACATACATTTATTACAAACATACCTATTGGTAATTAAGTGAATTTTTTTCACTTACTGGGGAATTATAAGATGTCTATTAATCAAATATTGTTTTCAATAAAAAATTTAATGCCTAAAACAAAAGTTTATAAATATTAAAAATATTTTTTAATTCATTCTAAAAAATTATGAATTATTTTCGGACACGAAAGGCAGCAATCTACAATTAAACTATAGTTTATTGATATATTATAAATATATTAGCTAAAATATATTCTAAACTTATTAAGTAATTAATATTAAATAAGGCGGCAAATGTGATTCAATTCTATAAAGGGTATATAAATTATTTGATGTGGAGAAATATTATATCGACATGGCAAAATGATTGGTAATATTTACTTAATATCATTATTAAAAGATGTTTTCTATAAGAAACAAAGTTGTAATTGTATTACCTCACCTCTAAGAATAATTAATTAGAAATAATAATGGATCGAAAATTGCACCATATGGTATATCGAGTTTAATATTTTATTCGGACGAATTTATTACTAAACCAGATAGAAAGAGTTTTGTTATTTAGAGTTAGAGAGAGTTAGATTTTTTTATAAAATCGAACATTTTCTTGTAAAAAGAATTAGGATAATAAAATCCGAACAATAGAAGGCAAATATGTGAATGAAAATCAATAATATTACAAGCTAATTTTTTTTGTGTTATAACATTTACTATACATTATTGATTATTACTTTATGTAATTATGGTAAATATAAGCACTACAGTGCTTACTTTTCTGAAACAATAATTATTATTCATTGAATATCAAATTTAGCCTGTAACAAACAGTAATATTTGAAGAACTAGATTTTTTACATTAATAATTCAAAGATAAAACGCAATAAACTAATTAATATAATCATTGATTTTATTACATGAATAAAATAGACAGTAACAATGCAACAGAAAGATAATATTATATTATATTCCTATCTCATTGATATTCAATAATATGTTATAGGTCTCGAGTGTATCTATACATTGCTTATTTCTACAAACAATATCCAATTATAATATTTATGTATATATACAATGACATAACAATATTTTACAATCATATATGCAAATAATAAAACATCTACAATTTTCACAGGTCACACAAATTGGTCTTATTAAGTAACCAAATTATTTATCAATAAAAATTTAACACTTCAAGGAATAAATTACAAATATTCAGATAACTAATCAATATAAAATATAATAAGTACAGTCTTATTAATTATAATAAATTAGGGTTTAGATGGGCATTCGGTGGATATATAGTATATACATACAGAAGTAAATCGATTACAAAATCAATATTGTAAAGAATGGTGTTACGTAAGGAATGATTAATTGAGTATAAACCATGTATAAATAATTAAATAAATTATTATATTTTGGTCAGAGATTTGTCAACATTTAATTATAGGATTATCATTTATAAATTCTGGATAAAACATAAAAAATTCTTATAAGTTTTAATAAAAATAAAAACAATTATTAATATAATGAATATATATACTAATATGATAATATTTATTTGACATATTAAGTCCATTAAATAAAATGATTTCATATTTAATTCGATAATGATTTGCGTAATGCTCTCTTGTAAATTTCATCAAAAAAAATTGTTTTTCATTATTTTAATGTGGGATTATAATAAATTATTATTTTCATCTTCAAACCTCATTGTTTTAACATTTTGCAACTTATTATCCATAGTGCTACAGATTTAAGAATAAATTTAATGGAAATTTTCTCAATGCATGACGTCATTGAAAAATGAGTGGCAACAGTATATGCATTAATAAAAAGGAGCTATAGAAACTGAAACACTAGTTATCACAGGACTAACTGATGATTTTTTACTCACAATTGCCTTTTAATGCAATATCTGAGTTTGCGATATGCATATACATATACACATACATATGTATGTATTGTATATGTACATACATATAAAAGTATTAGAATTAAATTTTTTAAATAGAGCATAAAAATGATGTTGGCATCACCTTCAAACTTTTTATAGGCAGTGTTTCGAATAAATGCTTGAACTTTAATAATTGAAATACTTTTCAAGAAATGCTAAATAATATTAGGAATATTATCGAGCTCTGTTATTCAATAAATATAACGACATAATTTTATTTTGATATGTAAATATAAATAATATAAACAATTTCACAATATCTTATTCTAATAAAATCACTGGAGAATGTTGTACTTAATATTTATATAAAAAATTAAACAAAATGAAAATAAGTTATTTTTAATTTAAATTCTTAAACATATTCTCAGGTCACAATTTAAATAACATTTTTATATACTACTATCAACGGATTATGAATGATTGCAACAATCTAATCTAAATGATGTTAGATCTATTTCAATCTATATATTACGCAAAACGCACCGTCCCAAAAATATGGTATCCTTAAAAGAAAATTTTAAATAAATCCGTTCAAATATGAATATCATACATAAACTAAATAGTCTATTTTTCATTATCACTGGTCTTTGAAAGGAATTACTGTGGCAGATAGTTCTGCCTTATATTGACACACAAGTAAAAACGAGGATTGAAATACATTAAACTCAATAGCTGTTTGTAGTAGTATTTACAAATTTTTACCTTTGAGATTCTATGCGATTACAGGAATCTTGGTGGTCCAGTAGGGTAATGTTGACTGGGACCCGGACTGTGTCTATGCATGCTGTAAGGAGACGTGGATCCGGACAAATATCTGTGGTATCCATTCGATGAACCTCCTGACAACGTGTTGTGCTAAAAAATTTAATTAAAGGTTAATTTGTCACTAATTTACTGTAATTAAAATATTTTATTTAAATTTAACACATTCAAAATTTGTATCTTCAGAAAAAGTACATTAGAAGGAATTTTATGAAGTTTATTTGAATGACAATTGTGAAATTGATGGACTGAGAAAAGTATTTTTTTGTCAAGATCTCACAGAGTATATAATTTCTATTATATCTAATATAAATGTTATTCCACATTTAATTGCTGCAAAAATTAATGAAATCATAATTTATCACTTTGCATCATAGCAAGCTCAAATTCGTGTCGCCATTCTTAAATTTAAATACTATCTAATAATATTTTTACTATGACATACAGTATAATACAAAACTGTTAAACTTCTTGTTACCACAAATGGCTTTTTGAAGCAATGAAGTGAATGAAGTGAATGAAATAAATCACATAGTTAATAAACTAGAATTTTATCTAATTGTAAGCGCAGAAAGTGATAATTCTATATGTCTATGTATGTTGAACTGAAAAGCCCATAAAATTAAAAACAAGTGTATATTCAAACAGTAAGGACATCCATTAAAGTCAGTTATAAAGCACCATCAAAAATAGAACTAGTGGTGTATGGCATCGTGCCTTAAGGCAAATTGCTTGAACTGCCCGTACCGTAACGAAATGTTCGAGGAATATAAAATGTTTTCAAATAGAAATAATAAAACTGAAATGCAAAGTTGAAATTATTTGTTCAAAGTATATTAGAACTTTAGTTAGAATTCAATTCAATTCAATATACAAAAAAAATTGAACAAAAAAGAAAGAAAAATTTGAAACAAACAAAATTTTTCTTTCAGAAACAATTATTTTGTTAAAACAAGCAGAAAGTTCTTCGAATCATTCAAATCGAACGCTTAGTTTTCTCAAAAACTGCCATTTTTTACACATCTGTATCTTTGGAATGGCTGGAGCTGTGTTTGCCAAAAATTATTCACCTCTTCTTCCAATCATTACAAATCAAATGTTTATTATATCATTCAAATCGGATACTCCATTGTCTCAAACTCTCAAACAATTTGTATTTTCTGCACTCTTTCCTCTGTACCTCCGTAACGGCTGGACCTGCCTTTGCCAAAAACTAATCAGCACATCTCCCTATCAATAGGAATCGAATATTTTTTCAACCATTCAAATCAGTTCATCCGTGCGCCCAAAAACGTGGACGAAAAAATGAGGACATACAAAACGCACACACACACACACATTTTTTCTGAGGTATGCCAAAATGTTCACAAACTTTCAAAACGTGAAGATATGCAGAAATTTTCACTTTCGTCCCATTCGCAAAAATAATCTTAACTACACTTAAGTATGTCGCAAACAGATTTAATACATTCATATTGTAGCATAAGTAATTGAGTCAACAGCAACCCTTAATCATCATTTTTATTATTTCTGCCATCATCATTATTTTTATTACTTTCCTTATTATAATAATATTGTTATTATTTATTTTTATGTTATCTTTTTTATGTCTTCAAATTTTCTTTTGACTTGCAACAAACCTTACTTAATCCTTATTCAATATTGCTAAATTCAAATTTAAAGTAACTGTATAAAATCATAATACCATATAGATACCAACCTGTATTAAAGAATGAGATGCACCCGAATATGAACCAGTACGATGCGCCATCACTTGGCCCGCCGTATGAATGTGATGACTAGGTCCATCCCCTAAATCAAGTTGTAGTGCCTCTTGCTGCTGGGCATGTACATGTTGTTGCTGTTGCTGCTGCTGTGATAACAACGACAGCTGCGAATGGTGCGCGGAATGTTGTTCTTGGAGCTGCATTTGACCAAATGATGCTGTCGCCATTGCAACATCAGGCATTATATCGGAGAGATGGCCGTCGCTGCAGGAACTGCTTTCCTGCTCACAAGGCATTCTAAAAACATGATCATTTAGTAAACAGAATCATTCGTCATAAAACATGATCATTTAGTAAATAGAATATCAAATAAAGAGCTATAACTTCTACAAAAAAATTAAATCGCCATGAATTGTTAAAAAAACAAATTATAAAAGCAATCACCTGTATTCTCCCTCAGTGACTAATGCTGGTAACTCATGTCTTTGCATACAAGTGGCTTGACGAGGGAAAGTCATATTAATTGTATGCCTTGATGAGTGGCTTCCAACTCCAGTGGACTGAGACTGAGTATTTGATGATATCTTGGCTGGTGAAGGGGGAGGAGTGGCATTACTCTGAAAATATACAAATTAATATTTCAAAAACTAAGCACTAATACTTTTTCATAATTATTTTTTTTAGCGCTTTATAAAGTATAATAGCTATTTTTTAATTAAATATTTAATAACTTGTGAATGTCCTCTCAATGGCATCTCAGAGTCTTGTGCTTCTTGAGAATAATAACAAGCAGCATTTTCTAATAAATCAGCGACAGCATCCGGAAGATTAAACTCACGAACTACTCTCAAGCGGATCTGTAAAAAGCAGTTTATTTAGATTTTTTTGATGTAAGAATTTTGTCTTCATAGAATTAAATACCAATAAGTAGCTTATAATATAAATAAACGATAGATATATTTCAATCTTCCATCAATTTAATGAATAGTAATTAATTATAAGTCAATTAGTTATAAGTCATTTATAACTATCTAAATATGGTGATCTATTTCTCACCTGTCTATTTATTTCATATCTTGATGATAGTGGTAATGTAATCGCTCTTTGACAACTAGGACTTTGCCTAAGTTTTTGTTCCCTCTTCAACATGGCAGCCATAGTTTGACTATCTGGTACAGGCAAAGCGTTTGCTACAATATCAACGCCTGCAGCACCCATTGCTCGTGGCGGTTCCGAAACCATGTATAATGTGTCAGGAATATCAGGAATATATCTGCCCCTTCTTAATCGAACTAACTCCACCTCTTGTAAAAGTTGATCCTCCAATAATGACTACAAAAATTATTTATATATTTATTTTATGAAATTGTAATGGCAAAAATTCAATAATAAGTTTATAATAATATAATATAATAAATAAAATTAATGTTGTACCTTAACTTCTTCATAATATGGCATAAAAAGCCGCGGTCTAACAAATAAACCATTATTTTTACCACCGCGAATCCATGCGTTAACTCTGAGATTTTCTCTATCGTCGCCTATCATGTGGGATGGTGGTGTACTGACTAAACCCCTGAAATCAGAATATAAGCAAAATTTTATTTTTAACTAATATGCTATAAATATAATTTAACCTTTCTTACATTCTCAATTATTCATTTATATTATCCAAAATATTAAAGAACAACTCCAATAATTCTTTATATTTTTGTAACAACATAAAACATCAATAAGAAATTTATTTAAAAGTGATTTAAAAAAGTTCTTGAAGTATAAGAAGCAAAATAAAAATACAGAAATTTTTTCCATCTAAAATAAAATATTTATCCAAATACATAAAACAGATACAATTGATTTGATTTGCTGTACACACACGGAAAATAATGAAATGCTTCAGATTATAAATCAACCAACTTGACTAGTAACCACTAATACAACATGATTCCACATAAATGATTTTTAAAATTGAATTTGAACTGTTTAACTTTTTATATATTTATTAGCAAACCCGACGAACTCCGTTTTGCCACCAGATGGTTTCGTGAGAAAGATGAAGAAATTGTTTGTTTGTTTTATATTTGAAAAGGAAAAAATTGATTTATTATACAACAGTAATGAATTTATTTCGATTACAAAAATGAAGTGTTTTTTAGTTGAATTTCTCTAAGTAAATGAAAGTGAATCCGCAAATTATCCGTTTCATTGAAGTGCCCTCTAGCAAACCTCAATTTTTGTTTTTTGGTCTGACCTTAACACAAACAAAGCGGATAGTTTTCCAACTTGTGAACAGGCAACGTATAACTGTGCATGTGAAAAACAATGATTTTCTAAATAATCTATTTGAAATTTATTCCGCAAACACTAAGCGATTGGCCTTGCGACTTGTTATTGCGAACGCAAGGCGAACTGGAAATTGCAATCGTTTGAAGTCAAACGGAAGACCAGTCGGAATCATTGGTATGTCACAAAATCGCCAGCAATTTTTGATTGAATGGTGAAATTCAGTACGTGTATATCATTATTCTTTGCGTCAAGAATTGCTCGTTGACTTAGACGTTAACCAAGCATAATTCTGATAATTCTCACTAATGTCATTACTCGAATATTTAATTACGGTGCGTGAAGTTCCGGCAGCTTGCATTAAGGCACGATGCCATGCACAACTAATGTTCTTAGCTATAAACCTTGCGGAGCCCGAGACCTTTCCAACGAATGCAAAATTGTCGAAATCGGTTCGTGCGTTATGGAGTTATTTCGTCAGGAAGAAAAACCCGACTTATTTTTATATATATAGAAGATAATCTATTTGAAATTATTTAAAACAATTATTGATTATTTTTATTACTCGAATTTTTAATTACGGTGCGTGAAGTTCCAGTAATTTGCATTAGGGCACGATGCCATGCACCACTAATTTTCTTAGCTATAAACCTTGCGTAACCCGAGACCTTTCCAACGAATGCAAAACTGTCGAAATCGGTTCGTGCGTTTTGGAGTTATTTCGTCAGTCGGGTGACTTATTTTTATATATATAGAAGATATTATATAAAACTATTTTGTACAATTCAGAGTTTTTAAATTCATAAATATTATGTTATATTTGGAGATTATCACAAATAGAACTTGATATACCTAGCTAATCCTATTATGCTATTATTATAATTTGTAATATTTTATTAAAGTACCTTCTGATAGCCTGATTTAATATCTCACTACTTGGTGGTAAAACATGGTCCATTCTGACAAGTGGTAACAGCTCCGAAAGAATTTCACGTAGTTCAACATCACTTAAGTCTCTCTTCTTAACTCCTTTTCTAGCTACTGAATGTGCAGTATGACTTAGAATATTTGGTTCTAAAATTTCATATTAGAGGTTGTTCATTATAATTTACCAAATACACTATTTAATCATTTGTAAAAATAAAGTAATATTAACCTCTGTCTTCCATTCGTCTAATTAATTCTTGTTCCCCCCACTTCAAGACTGCCTGCAAAACTTCGAGTTCACTTGCCTATTTAAATTACAAAAAATCAAAATATGTAAACTATCATGTATATTATATTTAGTGATATAATATAATAATTATTAAAATATATAAAAATACAAATAATTTATGATAATAATTTTATAATTCATTTATTTTATTTCCATAATCTATGCATTTATAAAAAGCGATAAAAAAATGATGAAGAAAACTATATTAAATCATTGTACTATTTTTATATTTTACTATTCAATTACTAAATATTTATACGTACTTGCAAAAAATGACTTTGCAATACTGTTATCAAATGTGTCTTATCTAATTGATGAAGAACTGTTGATAAAGCCACTGGTTGAAACTCCTCTCTTAAAAAGTGTAGTGCTTGCCTGAAACATGATATTATTTTATATTTAAAAAAATCTTCATATATGATATGAGATATTTTTTTTTTACAAACCTGTGCACCCAAGCACTACCATGTGGTTGTGCACCCCAGCGTAACACACCAGGCAACGACTCTGGTGTCAGCCAATCTAAGATGAGATCTTCACAGCCTTGAGCAAGTATATCTAATTCAAGAAATCTACCAATCTGATATAATTCCATTGCTTCTTCTAATGCACTTGGGCGAACTCGACCAGTATGTGTCAAGGCCTGAACCTTGCAATAATTAATATTAGTTATTTCACAATAAAAATAGTTGTATGAATAATCACAGACAATACTATATTAATAAGCAGTTCAATACAATTAATTAGGCATTCATTCAAAATTGGGAGTATTAAAAAACAGTAGAAAACAGCTAACACAGCTGAGGCATATTTCAACATATTTTCATATAATCCTTATTTATTTATTTATATAGAGATATTGCACATCTCTATATGAATTTATATAGAAATGTGAGCTTTTATGATATACTTTCCTCAACCTGGTATTTCTAGAAGACAACCCAGTGGTAAGATTATATTAAAATATTGCTAATAGTTATGTGAATATATATATATTGCCTAAAAGGCTATTTTCTCTTGAAATCATATTTAAAATCTATAATCTCAATTGAAAATCTGGTATCAATACTGCTTGATATCAAACTGTACTGGAGATATAGACCCAGATAAGCCATGGAAAACTCAAAAATGTAATCTATTATATTAAGTTTAGATCAAATAAGAAAATAAACTGCTTATCAAATACCTCTCCCAAGCTGCCAGAATTTCCACAGCCGTTGCCTCTTATAATTAAAGAGAGATCAACTGTGTCTAGATAAACAGCATGTAATAAAACTCTGGCATATCTCTTCGGAATGACACTTTCATCTAAAACTATTCTAGTAGCCACATGCAAGGCTCGCTCGGTGTGATCTTCACCATTACGCGTGCGCCGTTGAATTAAATTTCTGAAAATAAATAAAATGTATAATTTCAGTCAATATTATGTTTCAAATTGTATTGTAAACTATTATTAATAAATTAGAAATATTTCACTAAATTACTAGTGCTTAATCATTAACATAAAATCAATTCTGTTGATTCAGAAAAATATATTTTTTAAAAGCAAAACATCTTAAAGTTCTACTATGTTCATGAAGAAATTTCTCCATTTCTTCATCCTTTATATTATATAGATAATTAAGGGTAATCACCGAAAAAATGGTGATCTAGCGCTAAGTATAGCTTTATGACAAGGCAGTTCTAGTTTCGGTCTGAAACCATACTCAGAGCTCCCAGAATCAGGTCTGTGATAATCTCCAGTTTCTGCAGTAAATACCAAGGCAGCATCAGCGTAATCACCTGGGAATATTTTTAATTACAATTTCCATTACAAACTTCAAACAAAGCTACACAATACATCATAAATTGCAAGTTTTCAAATTACGATAGCTGTGTACTACCCTTTAATAGACATGCAAAATTATTTTAATGCAATTAAAAACTAAACTTGAACAATATTTCAAAAAATGTCCAAAAGCAAACCTGATTCAAGAAGGTATCTGAGATCATTTTCCAATGGATTTGGTGTTCCAAATTCTTCACCCAATCTCCTTAACAGAGTCATATCCATCGAGGGATCATGACATAAATCACCTGTATATAAGTACCGTAGTAAAGCGGAAAACATTGCCACATCTACCGTTGTGGTGCGTAATTCCAAACAAATTCTAAAATAAATATAATATGATTAATAAATAAATGAATAGCCACATATGATAAGATATTTCGTGGTATTGTTAAATATTTCAGCATTAACATGAGATCCAAGTACTTTTCGAAACATGACTTTCATATTACACCTAATAAATCCTTTCAATAGTTTTAACATTTCAATGGATTTCTGAGAATATACTTCCCATCATTTGAGTATACTATAAGTAAGAATTTTATCTTCATTGTATTTTGAAATATAATTATACTTTATAGAAAAATAATCAAACTTGATAGCTCATGAAAGGATAACGCGCGATACCAAAATCTAAGCATATTTCAATTTTTCGGTGTTATTATGAGACTTTTATAAAAAGCATTTAAAGATATATCGTGCTGTATATATTTACCTTGCTCCATATCCTGGACATCCTGCTAACAAATCTCGGAAATAAGGACATCTTGCAGACAGAAGAGCCCTATGTACAGGAAAAATGGCTCCTCTGAACACCAGGTCCGCATCTGTACAATGTTTTTGTTCGAATAATGTACATAGATCCTGCTTGAATGTTGTTGCTGGTGGTCTAGCCAGCTCAGCTTGTACAGATAAGTCCTAGAAACATATATCATTTCAAACTTGAATTGTTAGCTAACTTTAATTTAAATGGTTAAAGATAATGCAGGCAGCTTTCATACATACATTATTAAATAATAAAACAAAACATTTAACATTCAGTTAATTCGGAAAATGTATATACAAAATTGTTGCACGTAAGCAATTGACGTTATTTTTTCAATATTATTATAACTTATAACTTTAAAATATTTCACATTGTTTATATACAATTTAAATATTTCAAAATTTGATGTTTTAGAACGAGCTATTAGAAGTATAAAATAAATGATTAAAAATGATTGCTCATATATTTAAACAATGGAAAATTTAACGACAAATTATTAGATTGTTCTGATGGAGTTTGTTTCTAAATATTATATTTATGGAGCAGTAATAAAGAAAAAACTACTGCTATATTTCATTGTGCCTTAAGGCAGATTCAATATTGAATATGCAATTTTACATAATTTTATAAATAATTATTATTGGTCTATTTTCATTGTCAATTATAGAAATCCAATACATCATCATGAATATCTTGTGTCTATTAATAACAATAAATCAATGTAATTAGTAGTATGTAATAGTATATAATAATACAGTATCAAATGGTATCAAAATGGTACTTTGCAAAGCCAAATCCTGGGTATTTGATAAAATATCAAGCATTTAATGAATGTGCGAGATAACGATAAAAAGGAGGAAAATGCCCTATGCGTTTTTATAAGCAAAAATAAGCCCACATATGAAATACATAATTATTATATAATTAATATAATATGAATAATAGAAAAGTAAACCTTTAACGCTGCGAGAGCTTCATATTCCTCTAACAAAGCACCAACTTCTAGTGGAGTCCAATCAGAAACCAATTCCCGCAATACTCTTCCATGATCACAAGTTTTGGACGACCTACGACGCCTAATAAATTTTTTTCGTAAGGTTGCAAACCCATTCACTTTCTTCTTTCGCTCTCTATAGAAAAAATGCATTATAAGATAAAGGTAAAGGAATAGGTATATTTTACTAGAACTACTCATTTTAAAATACTCTAGGAAAAAGACATTATACATTGACCAAAAATTGTACTATGCGATATTGTACTTATACGACTTATATAGGAAAAGAGTCTAAATAAAAGTGCATGAAAATAATTCCGTAAGTAAAGTTTTTATTTAAGTTTATTGATTATCGGTGTAATTCTCTATAGTAACTAATGCGACAAGAATGTTGTACTCTTCTTTTATCTATGCCTTAGTACATTAGTACATTAGATCATTTCGAAGAACAATTATACCATAAGAACAAAATAATACGCATACAATATGTAGAATAATGTACAGGTGGAAGGATTAAGACATTTCGCAAATCATTTCGTAAAAAATACTTTTAAAGATTATGAATAAATAAATAATTAATTCAATATATAAGTAATTAAATAAATGTTTAGATTAAGTTATCATCCTTATGAGCATTTTAGATTTACTAATTTTCCGCCAACGAGTTATAAAAAAAGCTCTCAGCCGTGAAGGAATAATAAAATAGCATTAAATAAATTATCAAATGTTATCATTGATATCTATAAAACAAAATGACTTTATTTAGTAAATACAACAACATTTAAACATTTTAAAATTATTCAGAAAATAAAAATATTCTCAAAAATTACAAGAAGGAATTTTTGTTTCATATTATAAGCTTTTTAAAAGAAATTGAAATAAAAATGTAAAGTGGATATTATTAATTCTTGCAAAATTCTTTTTACCTAACAACAACCCCCATAGGCGGCGAGGGTGAGTCAGTTGAGGCGCTGGCCCCCATAACGACAACAGTCGCTCCCCCGGTCATGCGGGCTGGGGGCGCCCTCCTGACCACTCGCGCAAAGCCACAGCCTCGCACGCCGACACTATCTTGCTGGTCGAGTTCTCGATGACCGATGTTATGTTCTTGCCTCCGCCTACATAATAGATATGAATAACATTAATTCTCGTAAGGATAAGGTTTATTTTTCAATATATTCCTTATTATTTAAGTTTAGCATTGTTAACACTTTGACTACGGAAGTCAACAACGTGTCGACATGCTCTTTTATGCCACATTTTCTGACAGTGCTACATTTATTTTGAATTTAGTTACTTTTACTATGATGATGATATAGGGAATATTATCATCATAGTAAAAGTAACTAGTTAGTGATTCCTACCCATAAAGAAAAGGCCTTTATTATTTTTGAACCTTTTACTCAAAAGGTAAATTTGTACATTCGTACTATTACTCTTATGCATTGTAAAATATCATTCGCATATTTGCAATAAAATTATTATTAACTCCCCGAAGGAGAAGTTTATGTCTTCATCAAAAAATCCGATTTGCTAATTTTATGTTTTCTCGACCACTTAAGCCATTCTGAATCGAATGAGACCAAATTTGGAAAAAGTGTGTTTGCCGTAAATCGAGGTTTTCTCAAAAACGGCTGGACCGATTTCAAAAATTTAAAAGCCATTCGATGTATCCCGATGTGGACTATTGCTTGTCAGCGACGATCGGCCAAGCAGTTTCTTTATAAATCGCAGAAAAGTGAAAAAATTTTCGTCCACGTTTTAGCCCGCAATTCTGAAATGATTTTGAAAATTCAAAAACCGTTCGAAAGATATTGGTTGGGAATAGTGCTGATTAGTTTTTGGTAGAGATCGGCCGGGCCGTTTTCTTGTAATAAAGTTTTAAAAAAAAATTTTCGTCAATTTTTATTATTATTTTTTTGACGGTTGCTACCATAGTCTTCTAGATCATACTAAAATATTACGGCCCTACGACAACTCGTTTAGTTTTAAAAATTCGTCAAAGTTTGCAAAAATTAGTATCGTTTTTGTGGCATTTGTCATAATTAGAATTTTCATCGACGTTTGCTCAAAAACGCCTAAACCGATTTAAGAAATTTGATGCATCTCGATGATGATTATCGTTTGTCAGTTTTGTGCGACGATCGGCCGAACCGTTCCTTTGCAATTTGGAAAAAAGTGTTAAACTTTTCGTCCACATTTAAGCTCATACTACCGAATCGATTTTAAAAAATCAAAAACTGTTCGAAATATATTAGTTGGGAATGATACTGATTAATTTTAGGAGACAATCTACCCAGCCGTTTTCTTATAATTAACTGTTGAAAAAAAAATTAAGTCGAATTTAAGTTGAATTTAAAATTTAAGTTTTTCATGGAACTTTTTTTGGCGATATATATCATGGTCTTGTAGAACTTACTGAAATATTACGGCCTTACGTCAAGTAGTTTAATTTTAAAAATTCATCAAAGTTTAAGAAAATAAGAAGTTTTTTTCACGTTTGTTAAAATTAAAATTAGATGATTTACTTGGTATAACGATAGAGTGTTCGTTCGTTTTCAATGATTTGTGATAAATCCACTCGAAATACTTATAATCACTCATAAATTAATTTATATTTTATTGATTAAGTCGATTATTTACACATATCGGAAAGTTTATGTAAATTGCCTCAAGGCAAAGTACCAAGTAATATAGTTAAACCAACTAGTTATTAATTATTTGGTCCTAGTTAGTTGCCTAAATAAAATACATATTGACCCACAGGTATAAGCCGGTCCTTCTTATAAACCATCAAGGTTTTAGCAATAGGAAAAACAACAATATTTTCTCGCAAGTGTAAATGGCAATTGTTACTTTCCACCTCCCAAATTGTTACAACCGTTTACAGTTTTGATAATAAATAAAAATGTCGACAGCTTCTATTTTTCCTAAAAATAACTTAAAAATCGGTAAAATATATCATAATATAATCGAATTAAGAAAAAATTAAACTATTTTTTAAATAAAACGTTTGAGCATGGGAAAACTGTGTTGGTGCAAAGACCTCCGCAGTAAAGGTATTAAACAATATTAAACATGACTTATTCTATATTGGTGATTAATTGTTTATGTTAATTAAATTTATAATTTTTTAATTAAAATAAAATTTCATACTTTTACAACGAATAAAATGTATAGAACCTGCTATACTGCGAAAGCACAGGCCCTTGGCCACCAGGCCGCCTGATGTCTTCGCTGTGACAATCCTCGCTGCCGGCGCTCGCCCAATGCAGACCGCACGGTACCAGACAACTGAACAAGTTCATCTCTCACCCAGACAAGAGCCTTAAGGAATAGAACAAGATTTTGATTACAAACTAGTATTTATCAAGTAAAACTGGGAGTTCAAACATTGTACAACAGAAGATTGTATGTATGTTTAAACTATAAAAAATATAACTCAAATGCTTTAAAGACAATCAAGGATGATAAGATAATTAAAAAATATAATCATGCTTTGGAAGACCAAAAATGCAATTTTATAGAATTAAATAAATTTATATACTTTGAATCATTGGTTTGAGTGATACATGAAACTATAGACACTAGTTAATAGAAACAATCAAAATTTGAAATGAGATAATGTGCGTTTAATTAAAAATATTTCAAGAAATTTGACGGATTAAATCTAGCTTTGACGGATTAGATATGAAAATAACTTTATTTGTAATATTATTAAGTCATATTTAAGCAGAATAATTTTATTGTGGTCTAATATTTTGCACTTACTATTTTCAGTATGGTATTATAGAAACTATTATAAAAATGATTATTTTACTCTTTCATAATAGTAAAATAGTTAGCAGAAAGTTCAATTTCCCTTACTCGATCGATCTATATCTCATATTTAAATTTTTTAAATTATAAGTAGTAAAACAATAAGTAGCTTATGTATGTAATCGATTGTTAATAGTTTTATAGAAAATAATTTTGTCATTTGTCATAAGAAAAGTTAACACAAAAGTTAAATTATTAACAAACCAGATGACTTATTTTAAATCAGAACTTATTTTTAAATAGAATTTAATTTTTAATAATATAAGTATTTGGTATTTTACAATTTTTTAAACAGGATAACAGAACACAGCAATACATTTCAATTACTTCAGTCATTCACATACACTTATTGAAATGATATATGTATGTAAGTATTTTTAATTAAAGAAATATTTGTTAGTGCATTTTTTTATAACCAAGCAATATAAGTTATTTGCACTAATGTGTTTTCACCGAAGTATTACTTGTTTAGTAATTTTTCATTAAAGTTTTTATTGAAGTATTTACTCATTTTCATGATAAGAGTAGTAAAAAGGACAGTCGACCGATTTTAGAAAATTTAAATTCGTAGTTCAAAATAAGTCTCAATTCTTGAAAACTTGGAGCAATTGTGTCATTGTTTTTGCTTGTGGTCCAAAAAATGTTCTTCACGACTATGGTTACAAAGTTTAAATGAACAAAATTAGTAAAAATTTACCACAATAACAGAAAAATGATCACTTTTAAATCGACTATGATTAAATAATTTTAACGTTGATAAAATTAATTTAACCCTTTCGCTACGACTCGTAGCCTCGTAGCCTTCGACGCTAATTTATTACTCTGCGCTAAATTATTGTGAATTCTACTTTGTTATTTTAATTTTTAATTTTTTGTAAATGTAATAATTAATTTCTAAATATACTTTTATTGATAATAATGGGGAAATATTTAAATATGCTGTAAAAGTACTTGAGCGGTCGCTGGCTCGTACAGCAGTGCCACCCCTGCGGAAAACAATCTCGTAGCACAAGGGTTAATTGAATAGAATGTTTAACATAATTAATAAATTATATATGTACACATAAATAAAGTGACAAAATGCGTAAATAATTTGTACCAAAAAAACCTTTAATTCTCTAACAACTCAATATCTAAATACCATAGAAAGTATTCATTTACAATTTTCTATGTAACGAATGAAATCATTCAAATGCATTTTGGATTATTTTGTTAACTAATCTCAAAATATTTTACCAAACTACTTTAATTATCATCTCACAATGAATATTCATGATTACTCCGCTGCTTGGAATTTTGAAATTTATATTGTGTTCTGTTTAGAATCAAATTTAAATATTTTTATATTATTAATAAATAAAAAGTCTTCGATCGAAGTGTTGATTATTAATCTTCATAAAATGAATTCACTCAAACTCATTTATTGGTATTTTTGGTACAGTGGCACTTAAAAAACTGATTGTAGAAAAACTAACTCTAACTATGATTGTTATATTTACAATACTATGAAATATCATAGTAATGACTAATCTCTGTAAATGTACATTATTATAATTTGTTTAAATAAACAAAATATATGCGTGCATGAATAATATTGTTTAAAATTCAGTCTTATAATGTTATATGTTTTTAAATATATATATATATATATATATATATATATTATTATATATATTATGGTGGTCCTGAATATGGACATTTTCTTGCTCCCAAGGGCTTAAATGGTTCCAAATTGATAAAAAACTATTCTCTGCAAGTTTTATCTCTTAATATTAACTTTTAGATAGAGCGCAATTCAATCAAAGATTTGTATGTAAATAGCATGGACAAATTTTCAAAAATTTTGCAGGGCATCGAATTTTCAATAAAAAATGACACGAATTTTCACTGTTAAATCATTTGTCGCTAAGTTATACCTAAAAAATGTTTCTTTTAGTTTCCAAAATTTTTTACATGCTTTTTCCATACGAAGTTTGATTGAATTGCGCACTATCTAAAGGTTAATATTAAGAGCTGAAACTTTCAGAGCATAGTTTTTTTATCAATTTTGAACCATTTGCTCCCTTGAGAGCAAGGAAATTCGAAAATGTCCATATTAAAGACCACCCTAATATATATATATACATATATATATATATATATACATATATATATATATATATATATATGTATATATATATATAATTAAAAAAATAAGAGTCAGAACAAAACAATGCTCACAGGAAACATAAATAATCTTCAGCATAGCACTGATTTCTTTAAC